TCAATAAATTATACTGATGGGAAAAAAGAAAAGAAATATGCATCATTCATACATCATATACTGTACAAGTCAACATTTGTGCACTTTTCTGACAGAGAACGTTCCAAGCAAAATCCTACCAGCAATTTTTCCACTTCCTAATTCCCTATTAAAGACCTTTATTGATTCTTCGACATTATGACTCATCACTAAAGCCTTTTACTAAATGTTCTGACACAAGACGTGGCAATACAGGAGCAAACAATACACTCCAGACAACAGTACAAATCCCTTTGATATCAAGGAAGCCGTTAAGCTCTGGGCTGAACAAGCTGCATTATATCTGACATCACAAGCAGCGTGTATTTGGCTGCAGCATTAAATGAAGGCTAGAAAGGGGTCGAGGAGCTTACAACAAGAGCCACAACCAAGCAGAGTTAGTTTATGCTCAACATAAAACCTTTTTTTTGAGAGAGAGAATGGTAAGAGCTGTTGTGAGAGGTGCTGGAGGATTGTTAGTGTGAAGGGGCACACAATTTATCCTGTGTAACCCAACAGCCATCGTGTTGATGTAGCAGACATTACTGCGAGGCAGTCATTAAAGCTCAGCGTCTCATGGGGATGCCGGGTTTAAGCTGTAATTGCTATCAGCCTCAACACAAACAAACCTTTTCAGAGGCATCAGTGTTAATCTGGGCAGTTTTTTGCTAATGTCTTATTGCTGTTCAACAATAAAAAAGATTTATTGCAAAAAGCAGAAAAACACCTATAAACAAATCAGACTAAGGGGCTTCACTACACAGTGTTAGTAAGTAATATTAGAGAGTGACTCAGTACAGAGACAAGATGTTAAAGGCTTAAGAAAACAATACTCCTGCAAACAACATCATTTTGTCATTCAAATCACACATCATAACTGTGTTTCTCTCATGCACCCATCTTAAACCTATAATGTGTGCAGTGCAGTGAAACACATTTTGATCAGTGTAATTTGATCTTATATCCAATGCCATTCTTTCTGCAGCTGCCCCGTAATCTACAACCATTTTATATCATTATTTATGAACCCAGAGAATCCAAATATTGTGTCTCTGTTTATTTGGATACAAGAATGGATTTTCATTTTATGCCCAGAAAATAATTAATGCTGGTGGCGGTATGGGTTACTTCACCCCTCTCTGAGACTGTGACCGTATAATTAGCTTGAGTGTTGATAAAAACCCACCAGGGAAGGCAGATGGAAAGCAGAATGAGACAGAGGAGAGATAAGTGGAAGTTCTCAAGACAAACCATAGTCAGGACTTAAGGACTCCAGGGACACATCTGATTTTAATCAGTGGCTGATTGAAAAACAAGCCACTTGAAAGAAAAGCAGCACAACATTTATAACTTCATGAAGGATACTGAGAATACTGTTATTCAAAAAAAAAACTGCCTAAAAATAACCTAAAATCATGTTAACCTGGGATAAAGTTAGTTTCACAATTAAAGATTTTACATCTATATCAAACAGCACCTGTGTCAAATATTCTATGAAAAACTGGGGAAAATAGTACCTACATGGCATATTTTCCTTCTGAGGCATTTCACCATTCATCAGTTGTCTGAAGGCAGGCATATCCTGGTATTGTAGCGCAACTTGGGCATTTTTACCTGCATTGAAATAGGCCTACAACATGAAAATTCAAATTTGCTGTAACAGAAAAGGCTAGACTCAGTAATTTTTAGTTTTAACATAAAAATTTCACTCAGGATACCAACATGCAGCTATGTAGCAAACGAAACCAATAACAACCTGACATCTGCAGGAAGACAGCACTGCAATGCAATAAATATTCAATACGATTTTTCAGACCTGATAAACAACCCTGCCATTACTGAGACGGATAGCTCAGGAATACAAAGAAGAATCTGATGTCTGGACCATAAATATAAGAAAAAACACATTAGACAGAAAATTTGGCTTGGTTGTAAAAAAAAAAGTTAGGGTATAGCATTTGTCTTTTCTCATTGGTATTATGCATTTTTAAAGAGACTGAGGCAGATGGAGCATGTATTGAAATAACTGCATTACAATAACATTTCTGTGCTATTTTTGCTTCTGTCAATTGATAGCCTACTAAGTGAAAACACTCAAGTGAAACACCAATTTATTGCAGGGCTCGTGGCTAAAAGAAGCTGTTTAGATTGTGCGGTTATAAAGGAAAAAAAAGGTGACACTGCTCTTATGACAACATTTTTGACACAGTGACAAATGTCATTAAATATTCTAAAATGAATGAATGAATGAATGAATGAATAAAAAAAATAACTAAATATATTTAAACTTTGCTGAATTTTGAAAATTGTGATAATTTGGGACTGCCATATCTAAGATAGACTTAAAAACAAAAACAAAAAACTTAAAAATTTAATTAATTTCATTTAAATTAAATTAAATGTTAACATTTTTAACAACCAATGATCAAGTGACAGGATTGACTAAGCAGTGACACAGTCAATAACAGTTTCCCTGTCCTTCAGTATCCATTACAAGCAAAGACAAAGGCTCCACAGAGAACAAAAACAATAAAAGGCTATGACATAACTATTGATTAAAATGACACTATCTTTTTCTCTCTCTCTCTCCCTCCCTCCCTCTCTCTCTCTCTCTCTCTCTCTCACACACACACACACACACACACACACACACACACACACACACACACACACACAGCAGTGACACAGTCAATAACAGTTTCCCTGTCCTTCAGTATCCATTACAAGCAAAGACAAAGGCTCCACAGAGAACAAAAACAATAAAAGGCTATGACATAACTATTGATTAAAATGACACTATCTTTTTCTCTCTCTCTCTCCCTCCCTCCCTCTCTCTCTCTCTCTCTCTCTCTCACACACACACACACACACACACACACACACACACACACACACACACACAGAGAAAGACTCATGAACACACTTGGCTTTCTAATACTCACACCAGGAGTTGTTTATCTCCCTTTGCAGACACAGCTGAATGTCTGTGATTATCTGAATGCAGGTCAGTGGGCACACCTCCGAGGGGCACAAAACTAATTTTCATGTAAACTGTTGATTTCACATTCCTTGAAATGAATTTGCAACCTCAGAAAAAAGGTACAAAGCTGTCACTGGGGCAGTACTCTTTCAAACTTTTCATACTTTATGCAAACCATTTAGATGTAATTTTAGGTACAAAGGTAAACCTTTTCAAAAGGTACCACACCAGTGACAGATCTTGTATCTTTTTTTCTGAAAGAGTGCATATTGTGTAGGTAAACATTTCTACCTTTAACTGTCAGTTGTGTCTGTGTTTGTGTAAGTCATAATGCCTCAAACATAGATTTAAATGTACATGTCATGTTTTAAATCAGATAAATACAAAAATCTCATGTCATAATTGCTATTCAGACCCCTGTATAAAAGTTGATCAGATTATTAAATGGATCTGAAATTATTGAATTTCCATATAATTAATCAATGTCTGAGAATAAAGAACATTATTTATATGCACTTTTGCACCTCTATTTGAATCTTTCACAGCAGCTCATTCATGCCATCATAAAACCACTTTTATGTAGAGTAAGGTCTAAATCATTTAGGCTTATGAGCCCATTCAAGCCATCAAACATCTTCCTTTGAAATGAAGAATGGAAGTCAAAGCTGTGACACTAGGCATAATTATAGGTATAGCTCCCCAGGTTCTGTATCTGGGATAGTCCATGTAGCAGGCTAATTGCACTTTAAAGGGTTAGTTCACCCAAAAATGAAAATTCTGTCATTAATTACTCACCCTCATGTCGTTCCAAACCCGTAAGACCTTCGTTCATCTTCGGAACACAAATGGAAGATATTTGTGATGAATTCCGAGAGCTCTCTGACCCTCCCATAGACAGCAAGGATCCTAACACGATCAAGGCTCAGAAACGTAGCAAGAAGATCCTTAAAATAATCCATGTGACTTCAGTGGTTCAATCGTAATTTTATGAAGTTACGAGAATACTTTTTGTGCGCAAAGAAAAAAAAACGTCTTTATTCAACAATTTGTCTCCTCCGCATCATTTTATAGCACCATTTTGGAGAATATCACATACGTAAACAACGTATGCAATGTGAATGGGGATATGTTGTTTACGTTCAGATCACGATGTAAACAACGTATCCGCGTACATACGTTGCATATGTTGTTAATGTATGTGATACTCTTGCTACGTTTCTGGAGCTTGATCGTGTAAGGACCCTTGCTGTCTATGGGAGGGTCAGAGAGCTTGTATCAAAAATATCTTCATTTGTGTTCCGAAGATGAACGAAGGTCTTACGGAACGACATGAGGGTGAGTAATTAATGACAGAATTTTCATTTTTTGGGTGAACTAGCTTGAAATACTGCTTGCAGCAATTTATTTATTTGCCAGATCAGCTATTAGTCTATAAATATGATATCTATTACATAAATCAATTGATTTTCTGATATCAATAGCATTACATTTTATATTATTAATAATAATAAAAGTTTGGTTTAGAATGTATAAAATATATGATTTGTACAAAATATTAAATATTAGAATGATAACTATGAATTTAAATGTGTTCTTTTTAAAAAATATTTTAAAGCAAATCTAAATGTATAATTATCTCACTATGCTGGATATGGTATTCAAATAAAACAATAGCATAATAATCTCTGCCATATAAAGATATATTTTAAAAGCCCTCTCTAATCAAAAGTGTATTAGATAATTAAAATAATCTGACATTTCAACACAATCAGTCAACGCCCTAGAATAAATAATTGAGTTAATCATAAACTTGTTATGCCTTCACTATTTGTTAATCTTTCTAAATAGCCTACCAATTCTAGATTGTACTATTATAGACAAGGTTTGAAACGTTGTATTGCGAGCAACATCCTGTGTTATTGCTTCCATAATCTGATTCGCTTGTTAAATGTAATAAATATATCGTAGAAATATAAGAGTAGCAGGTTTGAGCCACGGGCTTTAATTTTGGCGTCACAAACGTCATCATTCTGCGACCGGACGAACTGAACGCATGGGCGCGTGTGCGTTCAGTGTTTTCTCTCATTTGTCACATAAAATATTATTCTTAAATATGTCTGCATATTAAACGGGATATCCGATATTCACCTTCGCGTGTGCTGTGGAATTACCTCGTTTGTACAATGCAGTCAGTGAAGATCGGACGCGTCGCCTTTCTCATTTCCAAACTCTTTAGTTCGCAGCTCGGCTGGGGACAGATCGCGGGCGTTAGCGCTTGTGTACGCAGAGTGACAACCGCTGGCTCACAGCCTGTGGTGATCCGCATCCCGAGACGCATGCAAGAACGTATAGAGAACATCAAACAGATGCAAAGCAAGAAGTTTGACAAGCTGCCAACAGTCAAGCCTGGAAGACTGTTGATCAAGAGCAAGAACCCGCAGCTAAACCAGTCTGTCGGCTATACACTTGGGAAATTTGAACAACCGGTTCTGACATCCAAGGGATGGAAGAGTAACAAAGCATTAGGGGATTACTTCTCCATAAACAGCATCCAAAGTGCTCCACCATCTGTCCTCAAGCAGAAGGACGAGGGTGATGGCAGTGCTTCCGTCCCCCAAAAGACATTTAATTGCTTTAATATTTGTCCAGAACTGGTCGAGACTTTATATAGTCAGAATATAATTCACCCCACCACAGTCCAGATGCAAACCATTCCCAAAATACTAAAAGGACGCAACATTCTCTGTGCTGCGGAGACAGGAAGCGGAAAAACTCTCGCTTACCTCCTTCCCATCATCCACAGGCTGCAAGCGGACAGGCAAGAGGAGCCCTTCACAAACTCGGAGAGAAACATTCGCGCTGTGGTCATCGTCCCATCACGGGAACTTCTTCTGTAGGACACAAAGACATTCTCTCTTTATTATTATGGACCTGCCTAAGATATTTTCTGTACAAGAACAACAATATATATTTTTGGAATGAAAGAGTTCTTTGTATATTTGTTGTACTGAACCTTTAAAGGGCTTAACATTTAGAACATTTTGGCCTAAGGTTTCTTTTCACATTTGTATTAGACATCTTAAAGGGCTAGTTCACCCAAAATGCAAATTCTATCATCAGTTAGGCTGTGTCCGAAATTGCATACTCTGTAATATGGTACTACTTTTGAATAAGTAGGTCTAATTACATTATTGAAGATGTTCTATATAGTATGAATGTAATCTGAATTTACATTTGTCGTGCTGTTATTGTCATGTGACCTACAGTGTCAAATGCAGTGCTTTACTGCCATTCACACAGGTAGCATTCACCTTTCGCCCGTTTTATGAATACCATGAATTTGGACATGCTACTTATTTCATATATTTTGTGATTTCTGACACAGCTTTGCTCACCCTCATGTTGTTCCAAACCTGTATGATTTTCTTGCTTCTGCTGAACCCAAGATATTCTTAATTATTATTGTCATTATTTTTTGCCTCTATAATGAAAACCAGTCAGATTCAGTTTTATTTCGGACCCTGCTGACTTTCATTGTTTGCACAAGAACAGTTTGTGGTCTGCAGAAGAAAAAGTCATACAGGTTTGGAATTAAATATTGCTTCACTAAACATTTAAGAACATTTTGGCCTGAAGCTTCTGTTTACATTTCTGTGTTAGACAGCTTAAACACAAATGCAGATGGCTGAATGTTGTTTTGTAATTTGAAAATGTTTGCCATGAACCTCCCACCGTTATGTGTGGGCTTATAGGCCGTACCATTATTTGAGGTATTTGACACTGAACAATTAATCTTACAGCAAACAGCCTAATTTAAAGAAGGCACAAGTGTTGCTAAGACCAAAACACATTTAAATGGCAAAGTTGCAACTTCCCGTTTTGCTGGTTGATGTGATGTTGTTGTTTCAGTGCTGGTATAGCTATCTTTTGCTTAATGGGAATAAATGTGATAGAGAGGTCTTAAAGTGAGGCTGTATGCTTCACTACCAACTGTTTATTATTACCGCACAACTGCAGGGTTGCCATGAGATAAATTCGAACTTTGCAGCAGCGTTATTGAGCAGAGGGTCTTTCATAACATTGATTAGAGAAGACATAAACGGAGCTGTGAGCTGCCCTGATGGGCTTATTTTAAAGAAAAAGCAACCTGGTCAAACAGAACTACTCCCTCATTAAGTACACTTGTATATTTTCGTCAAGTCCATTTTGTGAGTTCTAGGCTTTATCTAATGCCTGAAGGACAGACAAACCATTACACCTACGTTGAAATGTATTTGGACAGTGCTTCTTAATGTTATTGACTTTGTCAGTAGCACATTTTTGACTTTGAAATGCTTTACTTTTGGGTTAGAGAGTGCACTTTACATTTGTTTAAAGGTATATTTGGTTCACCAGAAATGCAAAGAGATCATTTTGTTGAATGAAGTGTTTAAAAAATAATGTTTGGGCTACTTGGGGCTCACCATCTGCTTTTTTCACAATTTAGATATTTGGTGTAAATGTATAGAGAAGAAGGTTGAGTATTTGCAGTTGTTAGTGATCCAAATTATGTTTCAGGGGCAATAATTTGTTATTTTTTTCACCACTAAATGCAGTCATAAATGATAATCAATTTGATGATAATCTGACTGAATTTTAACGACTGGACAAAAGTTATGGAATTACTAATAAAATCAATGTTCAGTGTGTGATATATGACGCAATCAATTGATTGATTTAGCAGCTTCTATTTGTGATTTGAACGAAAAGCACTGGGGAAAAGGCATGTCTGTTCAAATTGACATTGTCTGAACAGGTTAACTTTGTTATTAATGATTTGTCTGAGCATGATTTAGCAGCACCAGTTTCTGGATATTTTCCCAAGCTTCTCACCTGCAAGTTCTCCCAGTCTAAAACTGTAAGATAAATCTCTTATCACGGTGGACTGCCAGACCTATAGTGCTGACACTATGTGAAATATAGCATTATTTACAGATATGTTCAAATATATACACATCATATACTTAAAAGAAGAAGAAAAAGTTACCAGTGTGCACTTGGAATCAGTCATTCCAAAGTTATGCAAACTGAAAAAATTGGCCTCATTTATCAACAGTGCGTAGAAAAGTTTATTTATTTTGTCCTTATATTTACACACATTCCTACATATAAGTACAAGTTGGTAGATCACACACTTTACGTGAAACTGTGCTTACGCACTCATTACGCACACATCTGTGCGTATGCACTGTTGATAAATGAGGGCCCTGGTATCTCACAGAGAGGCGTGAGTAATAGACTGGTGAGAGATTGACACACACACAGAGTTTCCACTGGTCTTTTGTTTAGGACGATCTCCGGTATGTCAAACAGTTAACCATAAGCACTGGGATAAAGATAGCGACATCTTCTTTAAACAATAACCCACTCTAACTTGCTCTTAAAGGACCAGAAAATTAAACATATTTTATTGTTCATTGAATTTGATATTTTTATTATTTGAATTCTTAAAAGGGGTAACCTTCAATAATATTTTATTTTCATAACAGATATATAACCATAAGACTGCACATACAGCATACAAGTAAGAATGAAAATGTATGGCATGTTTAAACTGAGACAACATAAACACTATGCAAAAAGGTGTTCAGACAGCACAGTTCCTTCACAAACATGCTCTTTTAGAGTGATTCTCTCAAACATATCAAGTATAATTGTAGTAATTATATATTTAAATGTATCTCTACATAAGTTTTAATTATTTTCAATAACAATAATACAGTTAACAGTGACCATAAATATGTAAAAACATTTCATTGACAAACACTATTTACACTTAAATAGTTATTGGCAAATGCCTTTAGTAAACATGGATTGAGATATTATATCTGGTTTTACTTCTCAAGGTAACTTCATTTTTACTGTCCTTGTCAGTCAAACCTTGAAATGTAATCCATGACAGCACAGCATGAAGCAGAGACAACAACAGAAATGTTTTTAACAGTGCCGATACCTCTAAAATGTTTTGAGTCACATGTTAGTGGTGGAATGTGTCATGGAGAAGTTCTCCATGCGAATGCGCACCACTTTCTCCACGGGCGGAGGAGAGTAAAAGAAGTGGCACGTGAAGACCTGCTTGCAGGCTTTTCTGAAGTTTTCAGAGAGGAAGGCATAAAGAATGGGGTTGACACAGGAGTTTCCATAGGCTAGGCAGTGAGAGATTATGCGAAACGCAAAAGAAGCATCATTCAATGGGAACTGGCCGAATTCTACCCACATAGCGATAATGTGGTGCGGCATCCAGCAGATGAGGAAGGCAGTGACAACCAGCAACACCGTCTGAGCTGTCTAGAAAACACAGGAAGAGAGAGAAAAACAGGTTGGTTAATCATACCTCAGATGACTTGATTTTTGAACTTCTTTTTCTCATGTATACATAAACAAGAAACTTTCCTTAAATAATTAACAGAACGTTTAAAGGTGTTAGCACTTGCGACGGTTATTCTGTAAAAGGCACTGGTCTCTATTAATAGATGACAAAATGTATTGAGACTCAACAGAGCGTATGATTCAGAACAGTAAATAAGTCTGTGCCGTTACAGTAACTGGGATGGGAATAAAAGGCTGGACAGGTCATTACAGAAGGCCACAGCACAAGAATGGAGACTGTTCAGGTGACACATGGTTTTGGTCTCGTTTCCACTGAATTGTTGTCCATAATGGTGTTGAAAAAGTGGAGACCGAAGTGGGAAGAGTATGACAATTTCTTCCTCATTTCTGGAGCCAAACATGTTTTTTGATTCAAAGCAGATGACACCAAGTGAACTTTTCTGTGGGCTTGATAATGCGTAGCTCATCTCGTCACAGATGAAGCGACGCATCCTTTGAGTGGGTAGATGAAGCCCACCACCAGAAGATGACTGATGAAAGGAGAATAAACTCAATTACGACACTAAAATTAGCAGTAATGCATAGAGGTATGAGATACATCTCCTAATGGATGTTATGTAGTCGCTCTGTTTAAAATCTATAAGATAAATGGTGCCTGGCAATAAGAATGATGCTGGCTGCTGAGCTCTCTGCTGTTTTCAGAGAGGTTGGAAAAAAGATGCCAATTTCCTGAAGATTACATTCACTTCCACAATTTTGCGCAGCAGCTGGTTTTCAGCACACTGGGAAAGCAGACATTACCTTCCACCAATATATGAACTCATTACCAGTGGAGAAAAGCCAAGCCAGACTTGTGATGTTTCCATGTAGAGAGCATCTGTCTAGCAGACATCACAGCCCACACATTGTGATTTGCTTAAGGTTAAGTACTGCTTGTAACAGAAAAACAGAATGAGTAAAGCAACATTAGAATAGTTAGGATAGTCGCATACAAATATAGACTATATACAATATATTTGGCAGATTAGGGTTAACTCTAACCCTAGTATTTGAAGTATTTCAAACACTTAGCGGTAGAACATCAAAATGAAACAAATACTCAGTAAAATTCTATAAAAAAGACCTGGATACTCGAAACATGGTGTGGGCGAGTAATGGAGAGGGAGAGAGAGAGAGACCGCTATGATTAGTCACAGGATGAAAGTCTAGCAGAGTGCAAGAAATTTTCTGGAAGATTGGCACCATTCTCCCTTGGCCCCAGAGGTGTGCTTTGGCCCTTAATATCCTTTAGAGCTTGAAAGCTTGATCGAATGATTTAATATTACAAAGGTTTAACACTTCTGTTAGTTTCTTGACTCTACCGTGTGAATGCTGTGACCATTGTTTGATTGTTATAGTGGAATGTTATACACAAAGCAACAGAGTCCGGATGAACTACTGGTAATCATGAAGAGGGACTGGCATATTTAACTACACTCTAAAAAATGCTGGGTTATTTTTTTTATCCCAAATGCTGGGTCAGTCTGTTGGGTCATTTTATTGTGTCGTTTTTAATATTTTTTACCCAGGTGCTGGGTTATTTAGTTTTTTTAACCCAAATGCTGGGTTCAGCTTGTTGGGTCATTTTATAGACTTGTTCGGTATTGCTGGGAACGCCCACAAAAAGTCATAACCATTTATGCCGTGGGGGAAAATAAACGCACGAAGACCTTGATAGGCGCTTGATCTTTACTTTTTGTGATGATTTAGATTGATTTTTGCTTGGTGCAATGTCGAAAAGTTGCTGCGTGGCGTTCTGTACCTCTAATAAGTAAAAAAAAAAAACGATCTGAAGATTTATATGCCAAATAAACAAACGGACTACCGGAGGTAGCACTGAGCAGGTAGCACACATTATCAGAACTCCGAAAGTAATTATGGATACAATGTATGAAACATATCAAGCTTAATATTCATATTTATATGCACTCCAGATAGGTTACACTACTACTTACCTTGCGATGATCGAGGGGGTCATTAGTCCCGTCCCCCTGCACCGCAACCCAGTTCTGTTGGTGCTTACAGTAACCCTCCTTCGCATCACAATCAAAGAAATCTCACTCCCTGATATTCATATTATTATACACAATCCCTTACAAAAATTAGCAGTGGTAGGCCTATTACTATAGTAAAAGTATAGTAGGCCAACCATGTTTTTTTTGGCGTTTTTATTACCAATTGTAGCCTATAACCACAGTTTTACTACAAATACCATGGTTAAACTATGGTTAGTGTAGCAAAACGTTGTTTTTCTTTTTTGGTTGTAACCATGGTTAATTTTCGTAAGGGATATTTTCATGTTATTTTATATCTTTTTATTTTACGGCATGTATTTGTGAAAATGATTAGGCTATACTTAGCACACACCACATAGAATAACGCTGCACATTTCAAGGTGCTTCTGTGGACCTTAATGTTACCTGTTTTGTCAATGTTAAAGTTCTTTTTAATATATCAATAAAAGAGTGCGACAGGCTTTTACTCAAGTCTTTATCACTTTATTAAAATGAAGCAATACAAAACGACAAATGTTTACTTTCACAAGCCGTCAAGTATAGGCTTGTAGTAAGCTGTCTCTTGCCTATAGATGCAATCAGGTAACTAAAATGTCGGGAAACGACACCGTTGGGTCGTTTGTCCAGTCACAGATACCGTATGGATAGTCCGACCCAATATGGCTTAGTGTTTCTACGTATGTTGCTCTGTCGAGCGGCAGAAATGATTTTATGTAGGCCATTCTGAGTCAACACCATGCTTTTCCAATGAGGGGGAAAGATTGTTTTCCTCACGCCGACTCCGCCCACACAGCTATGACGCGACACCGATCAAGTCTATTGGGTCATTTTTAAAATTTTTACCCAGGCGCTGGGTCATTTTAATGCTGGGTTATTTTTTTCGACCTAACCGCTGGGTTGACCCTGTCTCCGGTGAAACTTCTCAACAATGCAGCTGCTGAGAGCACAGGTTTTTTAAGTCCACAGGAGAGAGCGGTTCTCAGCGCCGCCGCCGATTTGGTGCACTCTTTCGGTGAAATAAAGGTTTGTATACATTTTATTTAATTTATAAAGTCTTTAATGTGGTGTAAATTATATTATTTTACGCAACGCAATATAAGGACGAGATGTCAGTCAGCTGCATCAGCAGCGGTCGTTTCGCGCTGGAAACACTTTTGCCTTGCATAACCAGTGGCGGCTCGTGGGTTTTAAAACCGAGGAGGCACACTTGCATTGGTCTGGGATCCCTGCCGATTATTATTATTTGCTTAACCACTTTGAAATGGCTTTTTTGGTTGCTTTTAGTGAGAAAACGTAAAGAAAACGACACGCATACAGCAAGATAATATAACTTCACTTACCTGGCCTATCACATGAAACAAACATCCACCCCTTCTTTAAAGTCTGTTAAAAGAGAGCTGCCTGTTGTGCTATTTAATTAAGATGACTGCTGTAGTCGATATCCAGTTAGGCGTGTTTTCCCCTTTTTTAAAATTTGTATATATACTGTTTGAATGACAGCTTGGTAAATCTGTTGGCGATCAAATATTCAATATCGCTACTCATCATAAGTACTTGGTACATTATCAGCGCAGCGGGAGACGTTCAAACTAATATCACATAATTTACATTTCTGTGATGATTGGTTGATATCAGAAGGGAGGCTATAGCCTCTCCTGCAAGGTTTCTTTTCTCAACACTCCTCAGCGCTGAAAGTGAACACTCGATGAACACTGGGTTGTTTTTAACCCAGCATTTTTTAGAGTGTAGTGAGATAAGAAGATAAACATAAACATTTCTAAGCAGAAACCACAGAACAATTAATGATGTTTGGAAGCCATGTTCCTTAACTACATATTTCCCTATACCTACCAGGAATTTTAGATTTACTACACTCTAAAAAATGCTGGGTTAAATACAACCCAGTGCTGGGTAAAATAGGGACAAACCCAGCAATTGGGCTGTTTTGACCCAGCGGTTGGGTTAAATGTTTAACCCAACCTTCTGGGTAGTAACCCAACCGGTGGGTCAAAACAACCCAATTGCTGAGTGCTGGGTAAAATAGGGACAAACCCAGCAATTGGGCTGTTTTGACCCAGCGGTTGGGTTAAATGTTTAACCCAACCTTCTGGGTAGTAACCCAACCGGTGGGTCAAAACAACCCAATTGCTGGGTTTGTCCCTGTTTTACCCAACACTAGGTTGTATTTAACCCAGCATTTTTTAGAGTGTAAGATAAGAACACATGTACAGGTAGGAAACACGATAAGTATAACTGTTTGGTGGAGCAAACACACCATGGCTGCTACTTACACTCTAAAAAATGCTGGGTTAAAAACAACACAACTTGGGTTATTTGGCAACCCAGCGCTGGGTAAATATTGGACAGAACACATGCTGGGTTATTTTGACCCAGCTGGTTGGGTTAAACATTTTTAACCAACATGCTGGGTTGATTAATTTAAGTAATCTAATGTTTAAAAATTATTATATTGCTGGCTTAAAATGGGCTGGAAATGAAAAATCACACACAGAATTACTATAGGCAACAGCAATAATCAAAAGATGAAAGATGATTGAATTTATTTGGGTGAATACAGCATAGTTTACAATATTACATGCATTTAAACTCGTTTAACAAGAATTTTAGAAATAAAAAGGCACATTTAAAAGTAGCATTTTAATTTAAGTGTATTCAACTGTTCTCTATAATCGCTTTTTACCGAAATCGTGCTAATTCTCGTGCTGGTGTGTCACCGAAATCTGAGCCGGTGAAGGGCTGCTGTTCGCATTTCACTCGTAGCTGAGAGATGGCGTGACTGACTGCAAAACCTGCCCCAAAACAAACAGTACTGAGATTAGAGAACATATTTTAACATCAAATGAACTTACACTCAGTGTTTCCAGAGCGAAATGACTGCTGCTGACTGACATCTCGTCCTTATGTTGCGTTGCGTAAAATAATATAATTTACACCACATTAAAGACTTTATAAATGAAATAAAATGTATACAAACCTTTATTTCCCTGAAAGAGTGCACCAAATCGGAGGCTCTCCTGTGGACTTAAAAAGCCTGTGCTCAGCAGCATTGTTGAGAAGTTTCACCGGAGACAGGGTCAACCCAGCGGTTAGGTAGAAAAAAATACCCCAGCGTTAAAATGACCCAGCGCCTGGGTAAAAATATAAAAAATAACCCCCCAAAAAATGACCCAACAAGCTGAACCCAACATTCGGGTTATAAATATAACCCAGCACCTGGGTAAAAATATTAAAAACAACCCAATAAAATGACCCAAATGGCTGAACCCATCATTTGGGTTAAAAAAAATAACCCAGCATTTTTTAGAGTGTACATAAACAACAAAAAAGCTACTTCCCTTTTGGCTTCAAAATAACTAAAGGGGGACAGGGTTTTCTACGAACACACAGCTGGAGATATTACAGGAATAAACAAATGAGAATCCAACTGTTTCATTTCTACTTTGATGGTCATTGCACCTTCCTTTGATGTTTTCCTTCAATGCTCATCATTCACAATCCATTTAATCTGAGGTGTGCACCACTGAGCCATTCAAGATATGAACAGAAATGTGTATTAAAGGGACAAATATGTCATATATGCAATATATGCCAAATATGCAAAATTAAGGCCAAATAGAAGCTGGGGGCACTAAGGTCATCGCAATGAAACATCTTCAAAAATATAACAAACGTTTCATTTTTCTGACAGTGAAATTCAGAAGGATGGACACCAGGGGAAGGCCTCCATACATATCTTTGTCCACACATCAAACAATGAGCAAAATTTATACACACACTGAGAGGTATTTTCTTCCTTGCATTTAATGACTGACCTTAGCTCTGCACAGTTTCACAAACATGGGTAGAAAAAACCCTGACATTATGAGTGAATGTATAAATTTTGGATGGTGTGAATGGACTGCAAAAATAATTGGGGGGGCTAATAACAGCTCTCAGGCTGATTCAAACATAATTACTGTTATTTTCCCTCTCCCACCATCCACAGAACCAACTGTCTGAACCCTGGGCGAAGGAAAACAAGTTGTTTATACAGCACAGTTTGTGAAGGTAACAGTTTGCAGTCTGTTACTATGGGCTGAAAGGGTTTGTCAGAGGTCAGACTCCTGTTGTGACCTCCACTGTCTGCAATTATCTTTCTATTCCCTTCTCCTTACACTCACCCTTGGTCTTCCTTCTCCCTCTCACTAGTCTTGTTTTGCTTTTTCATAAATAATTCTCCCCTTTCCCTGTCTTCTTCACTTTCATCACATTTTAGTATTAACCTTCAAATATATGCTACACAGAGACAATAAGATGATAAGTCTCTCCGCATAAGCTGCATCAGGTTTGTAATCCACTGTTTACAAGAAAATGCGAAACTACTTTGTCTTTCTAAACTGGAGAATTAAACTTTTGTCAATGATAAAGTGAATTGGAAAGTTCTGGAGTGAACAATAGACTGCTAACAACTCAGGTAGTTTGTCATAAATAAGTGGAAAATGACTTTCAGATGCACTGTCAAGGGCCCTGTCTAAAGTGATGACAAATATACAGAGAATGGGAAATCATTAAGAAAAGATTTATGTTGCCCTAGTCTAGTTAGTTAGTTTTGGCTGTGAGGAATATATTTAATCATAACCTATGTCAAGGCTTGATCATGATCTAGTTAATAAACCAGCACGTTAGACCGTAGTTTGATGTTAGGAGGTATGAATGAAAACTGTCTTAAGACAGATTAAGTGTCATTAGCACTAGAAGCTGGTAGTAAGGATGTTTCCTCCATTATGTTTAGCTAATTAAGCAAATTTTAAGGAAAAATTTTAAGGATGTTTTTTTAAAAGAGTTTAATGGAGGTACTTTTTTTAGTTACTCAAGTGAATTTTTTTATGACAAAATGAATCCTTGGCCTCACACACTGAATACTGCTTTTCTTTTTAGGCCTTTGCAAAAAAACAAAACAAAAAACAACAAACAAACACACACACACACACACACACACAATAAAAACCAACCAACCAACCTCAGAGTCACAGACATTCCTTCTTGAAGGAAAGACTAAACATTAAAATGTCTTGATTTGATTCTGATACTGGCGTATTGGATTCATTAAATTATTGAAATTATGAAATCATTAGGATGAAGTCAGAGATTTACTGTATATATTATTTTAACATATTTTCCATGTGCAAGAAGATACATACAATATTTCATACAAAAATATATTCCAGATATTCCAGTATAATTTTATATTAAAATAATACCTATTATTATATTACTTCTATCTGAATAATATTTTTAATAGTACTTTTACGTAGTCTTTAGAGTAGAGTTTTACCACTGAATCACCATTCATTCAAGGGCCCTGTCTAAAGTGATGACAAATATACAGAGAATGGGAAATCATTAAGAAAAGATTTATGTTGCCCTAGTCTAGTTAGTTAGTTTTGGCTGTGAGGAATATATTTAATCATAACCTATGTCAAGGCTTGATCATGATCTAGTTAATAAACCAGCACGTTAGACCGTAGTTTGATGTTAGGAGGTATGAATGAAAACTGTCTTAAGACAGATTAAGTGTCATTAGCACTAGAAGCTGGTAGTAAGGATGTTTCCTCCATTATGTTTAGCTAATTAAGCAAATTTTAAGGAAAAATTTTAAGGATGTTTTTTTAAAAGAGTTTAATGGAGGTACTTTTTTTAGTTACTCAAGTGAATTTTTTTATGACAAAATGAATCCTTGGCCTCACACACTGAATACTGCTTTTCTTTTTAGGCCTTTGCAAAAAAACAAAACAAAAAACAACAAACAAACACACACACACACACACACACACAATAAAAACCAACCAACCAACCAACCTCAGAGTCACAGACATTCCTTCTTGAAGGAAAGACTAAACATTAAAATGTCTTGATTTGATTCTGACACTGGCGTATTGGATTCATTAAATTATTGAAATTATGAAATCATTAGGATGAAGTCAGAGATTTACTGTATATATTATTTTAACATATTTTCCATGTGCAAGAAGATACATACAATATTTCATACAAAAATATATTCCAGATATTCCAGTATAATTTTATATTAAAATAATACCTATTATTATATTACTTCTATCTGAATAATATTTTTAATAGTACTTTTACGTAGTCTTTAGAGTAGAGTTTTACCACAGAAATCACCATTCATTCAAGTTTTAATACTGTCTGTCCTACTCATTACCTAGAGTTGGGGTCCGGTCTCAAGTACAGTTTTTTTAAAGGACTCGGACTTGTCACGGACTCGGATGCATTTTTACTCGGACTTGACTCGGACTCGAGTCTTTTGGACTCGGAAAATATGTCAGAGTCCAACCTAGTCCAGGGACAGTTGACGGAAATGTCACTGACTCAATGCATTATCACAAAAGTGATATTCAGTATTTGCATGTGTTTTTATGTCTTGACCAGTACTTGAAAGCCGATGGGTTTCTGTGCACACACCGAAAGCATGCTGACAGAATAACGCACCTCTCAGTCAGCATACGATTGCCGAATTCTTTGGCTTAAGTTCTCTTAAAGGTCCCATATTGTCAAAACTGAAATTTCCTGTCTTTTTTCATGATAACTGAGGTCTAGGTGCTATGTAACTACCATATACATTTCAAGTTAACATGACTCACTTACTAACGATTGCTATGTAAAGTTATGTCCAGTTTTATTACTTTGCTTAATCATAATGCCTAAAACCCTAAAATAACCATTAACGGTCCCATATTGTCAAAACTGAAATTTCCTGGCTTTTTTCATGATAACTGAGGTCTAAGGGCTATGTAACTTCCATATAAGTTTCAAAACAGTCAGTCCGCAGTAAAATGCACACAGTCTGCTTAAAGTAGCTGTGATTTTTCACGAACCGTTGTGACTTCCGTAAAAAGTTGACGTCAGAACTACACAGTCACCGCCTTCAGTCACCACCCCGAGTACCGCCCACAGTCCCACTCTCCTTTTGCAAACCCCCAGACAACATCGTGGAAACATGTCGAAAAGGTTAACTTTAACCACGAAACCAGATTGGCCGACATGTAACGTTACACTCTCACTCAAAGGATGGACGATCTGACAGGATTGTTACTATGAGGTGGATCACATCTAACGTGTATAGTAAAGACAAACTCACCGTGTCTATCTAGTCATGATGAAGATGTATATACATTTCAATTTCAGCAGGCAACTATTTTTACAGCTACATTATTGTTCCAGCCACAATTAATCACAACAATGTATATACAATTACAAATGATTATATAGAAATCGTCAGTTTGTTGTTTTACACACATGCACACAAACATTATTTCATACACGACATAATCGTGAGATGCAAGAAACATAGACATATGGCAAGAAATCTGTAGACGCGCCCATAACAACAAAATAAAATACTTTATTTAACCTTTTCTGATAAGAAGTGTGCGCTGCAAACGCGAGCATTTTTGACAATCGTTTCTGTCCAGTTTGCTCGTTTTATCGCGTTTAGCCACAGCTGTCGTTGGTTTTTTGTCTGACAGTGGCAGCAGATATGCGATCAAATGTCTAATTTGAGGCTGTATTACGTCGATGATATCACAACAAGATGATATTTTAAGCTCCTTATGTAGCCGAATCTGCGCTGGTTTGAATGGGCCGCCTCCACTTTGTTTTGCTGCCACCAGCTAGCGCTGTGACATCACTGACCCTAGTTACCTGTGGTTGGACTGGCCGTGCATCACTCAGAAAACAACAGGCCAATCAGAAGAGAGGCTCATGAATATTAATTAGACAGGCCAAAATCGACCTGTTCTCAGCAGAGCTCCTGGGAGAGGAGCTGTAAAAATATATTGAGATGGTTTTTGGTACTTATACCGCAAATATATCTTCTTAAGGACATCAAAACTAAAACAAAACTCCAGAAAGGTGTACAATATGGGACCTTTGTTGGCCACCTCCCCCTTTATTTTCTCATTGTATGGTACTGGTTTTATAAGTTACTGGTAAAGACGTGTGATGTATTGAGACCTGGTGTGAAGTGTTGTATGTTTTAAAAAAAAAATTTTTTTTATCAAGTGTATGTTAATAAAGTGACTTGTTTATACTTATTATTATTATTATTATTATTATTACCCATTATGCTCACTCTGCCTTTTGGCAATGAACCTGTGTCCCTTTGTTTAGGGCTGTTGTGTATTCCGGGTGGCGTAGTCGACTATAGGATTTCTCTTATTATTGGTAATATCCCAAACTCCTGACCACTTACGGCCACATATGCATCAGATCTTAAAGCAACAGCGTAAAAGCTGCCGACTGCGTCATAAATGTTAATCAAAGAAAAGGAGAAAATCACTCACTGGTCTTGACTGAATCACTTATTAACTTTAATAAGAATCATCTATATTTAATGTATTCAGTGAAGATTATTTTTACATTTATTACTTCATGAAATGTCTGTAGTAGGCTATTTCTAGAGGCCTTTACTATAGGCTATCTGAAACTCAAAACGATTTAATTTGTATTTGAGTAATATATTTATTTATCATTTAGCTTGTAAGTAATACTTGGAGAGTTTACTTGCCTTCAGTAAGCTTGAGAATGTTTTATTACATTAGTTTATTATTTTTTTTCTTTTGTATTAGTGGCAGTTTCTAGCTTCAAAGAAAAATAATTTCTAACATCTTTGCGGCAATAGTTTTTATGGGGCCAAAATCACCTTCGATGTGCATTGTTTTCTAATAATTCAACGGCCCGTCATCAATTATTCCTTATATAATGTAATTTATTGCAATTAATGCAACTATAAATGCATTAAAAAATAAAATGCCTGTGACTTATGGAAAATATATGTAGGGCTTTTATACACAGTGTGTGTTATTGTACAGACTAGGTTTATCCCTCACAGCCTCATTTTCATCCAAGAAAAAATTCAAAATCTCTAAGGGGTATGTGTACATTGGCATCCATTCATTTTTTGTTTGTTTTTTTTAAACCCAGAAATTAAAATGCAGTTTCTTCTTTAATGGTTCAAACACTGACACAAACTAATTGATTATTCA